TCTCCCCACTCTATCGCTGTCAAACTGCTCCACTCCCTATTGTTTGCATTTTTGCTTCACCGTCGTCTCTCACTCTCTCACACTTTTGTCCTTATGAACATACGCCTGTTCAGCATGCGGGGTTGCCCGTGCCAGCGGAACGGTTCCAGCCGGGCGAAAAAGGCACCAACGGCGGACTCCGCGTGGACGGCAATGACGCCTGCGTCTCTCTCACAGGACGCACGCCGCCTCCCACACTTCTGGGAGGAACTTCCCGTGGTCTCTGCCTCCTGAGTGCTTGCTGTTGTTGTTGTGGCTGGTGTGGCTGTTGTTGCCGCGTCATCTCGCCGCCCCTTGTGGCACGCCGCGAGCTCTCCTTCTCCATCGTGGCGGAGAGACTCTTCACGACGTACTGGCGCACGTCATCGACCTGCGGGGCACGGAACGGCATCACATCGTCGTAGTGAACCGGCGCCATGTAGACAAGAAATAGGCAGATGGAATTCTGCGTGGGAGGTAAGGATATCGCCGCAGCCTCATCTCGTTTCTCCTTTTCCACCTCCTCTTTCTCCAGACAAACGATGGACTGCGAGGCCCCTAACTCATCATGCTGGAACACCAAATGCCAACGTGACGCTTCGCTTGTAATGACGTGAATATTCACATGAAAACATCGTGCGGCTGCGTTAAGACACAACTCGTCACCCCACACACCGCTTTGCTGCATATTTCGCAGGTACTCGTCCCACTCCGCCTCGCCGTCAAAGAGGACACTGTAGCTTTCGGCCCGCTGCCGCATGTAATCCACAACGAGGCGGCGCAGAAGCATGTGGTTGCCGGGTTGACCAAAAAGTTGATTCGCGAGGCCGCGGAAAAGGCAGTTGCCATCTGAAACCTGCTCATTCACCTGCAAAATGCCAAGTTGCCGCATACGATCTGCAAGACGCTCCTTTGCCTCTTCAATTCCCGCCTGACGCATCTGCTCCGCAATCGTTCCGGCATCATTGACGCCAAACTCAATGCCCGACTGCATCTCCCTCTCGCTAAGCTGCAATGCCATCGCAAGGCGTGACTGCATTACTTCCAGTGGCATGTTGTACGCACCGCAAGTACGGCAGACACGAAGTCCCTCTGTGGTGCGAAATGACTCCTGCTCTACCGTACATCTTGAGCACGCCCATATGAGGGGTTGGTTGCACACTTGACACCTGTCACCATCCACAGTATTAAAAGCGCTACATGCGTTACATTTCCAGACTATATGTAGTAATTTCGTTACCTCGCACTTTGAAACCCGCTTTTCCCCAAAACGGCATGCTGACTGGCAAAAGGAACAAATAATGGTGCCAACATTTTGGAACTGACATGCTCCACAAAAACGCTCACTATCACTATTTACAAAGGTGCACTGAGGACATGTCCAAAAGGAATGATTGAGGAACCTTGCTGTCTCGGAGTGCAGCGATCGTCCACCCTCACCGCCCCGCTTCGTGCGGCTCCGCAAAACAGAACTGGACATAACAAAGTTGGCCTGCGAAGGATCCACCACCGAGACGGTGTCGTCGCACGTTATGCCCCGCAATTTCCCGTCCGATGAGGCCTCGGTTTCCTGCGGTGGTGGTGCCACCACCGCAGGTGAAGGCGACTGCGTCACCGAAAGCCGCCAAAGTTTCGCAATGAAGGCGGCATCGCTTTTGCGCCGCTCCCGTGTGTCAATAAGAGGAAATATGTACGCGCGTATCGCGAGCCTAAAGCAGGAAAAGCAGAGAATAAATTCCTCGGCGAGGTGGTAATTGGCAGGTCGAGCGCACAGCCAACATGGCCCAACTGTCGTGTTGCCGAAGCCATCGCTGTTGTCATTGACGCCGGTGCTGTTCTTATGAGTGTTGTTGGGGAGTTCATGGCCTGTCCTCTTCCCACCGGCCGCCTCCATTCGCTGCGGGGATGGACGTAACGACGATGTCGACAAATGCGATGTCGCTGGTGGTGGCGCTTCATGCCGCTCGTGGCGGTGTCGTGCGGTATTGTTGGAACGAATTCCGGCGGGAGTCTGGCGCCGGATTTTCTCCCGAACCATCGCTGCAATCGCCTGCATCTCTTTTCTCTCTCTTTCTTTCTTTCTTTCTTTCTTTCTTTCTGTTCCTCCCCTCCCCGTGCCCCACCTTCACCCCAAGAACGCTAAGACTCCGTGCACGGGGTGGCCTAATAACAAACTATAAATATATAAAGATATATATATGCGCAGAGGTATATTTATGTCTGTGTGTACGGTCTTTTGCCGTTTGCTATGTTGCGGCCTGTTGAGGATTCCACTGTCCGTCCCGAGCCTCTTTACGTGTCATATATTTACATATAAATACATGCAAATATACATAGAGAGAGGGAGAGAGAGAGAGAGAAAAAAAGAGAAAAAAAAAACCCACGGAGATCATTTGAAAATAGTGATAAAACATAAATGCACACCATGTACGCATATAAACACCAACACACACACAGAGAGAGAGAAGAAAAGAAAATTTGTTAAAGAGAGAAAGGGGAAAAAAACAAACATTCACGGAATGTGCATCTCTAATTAAGAATCAACCAGGCCAAAAAACAAACATACAGAAAAACACACACATCTACAAGTAACAATTCTTAAAAGACATATCTCTCTCTCTCTCTCTCTCTCTCTCTCTCTCTTTTTGCTTTTTTTTTCTTTCTTAGGCGCTGCTAAAAAGACATATCAAAAGTAAATGTCTTTTCATTGATGTGTGTGTGTGTGTGTTTCTGTGTGTATTTTGTCCAGCAGATTCTTGGCTACATTGTAATGACATTCCCCCAATCCACCACCCCTCTCCCTTCGGCCACCTGCACCCCATTTCAACTCCTCTACGTGTAACATTACATACCAGTAAGGACATACATACATACATATGGCCTCCCTTTGATCCCACTCACATCACCCACCTCAAACATTGGAATGAAAAAGAAAAAAAGAAAAAAGGGAAATTCACTACGTACCTCTTCTCTTCTCTCTCCCCTTCTCCCTCCCCCTCTATGTCCATTGCCTAAATCCGTCTCCCTGAATCCTGTCCAAAAACCCCCTATTTCTCATTGTATCATCGGTTTCATACTTTTTTTTTTTTTTTTCATTGCTGTTCTTCTCTTCTCCGTCTCATCATTTCCCCCCTCCCCTTTTCTGGGCTTAGTACCAGTATTTGTACGACCAATGTTGTGTCCAGTCGTAGCCAGGGATATAGGCACAGTAGCCAAGGTAACTGTACACTGGCTTGCGACTGTAGAAATAGTGTTGCAACACTTCCTGGACGTTTGTAGGGGTCACGTCGTCAATGCGGGCGTACATCTCCTCCAACGGAATACGACGACCGTAATGTAGCACTTGCTTGCCGATATCCTCCGCGGAATTGGTGCTGCCGTCCATGTTAAACAGGAGTTGTGATTTAAGGTTCACCTTGGCCTGTTCAAGTTCATGCTGGTGTAACATCTTTTGGCATATGCGGCACCATTCCGCCATGGTATACTGGAACACCTCAATCATGGCACCGGCATCGCCTGGGCCACTCTGCGCAGGACGGCCCACAATGTACATGCCGCAGAGCCCCGTATCCTTATATTGCTGCAGGAACGGATTTGCAATCTCAATACACTTTTCATTAAAGTGTGTGTTGGTCGGAGTGCTGTGGTCAAGGGAAGAAAAGGTCTTGAGCACACGGTGCATCGCGTGTTGACCCAATTCATGCTGCGAGCGATGAAACGGGCCGGGAATCTCACACGCGAGGGCCAGCGGCAGGGAGTCCTCGCACGCCGCCCCACATGTCTCAAACCCCCACGCAATGTGGACAGTCTTGTAGCGCAGGTTCCACAGCTTGTACTCGCCGCCCACGTAGCGCGCCTCAGGAAAGCCGGCTGACTTTGTGGAGGCTGCAACGAGATCGCCAAAGTTGCTGGCGGCGGCACGCTCCAATGCGGTGTGGTCCACCGCCCCGCTGCCGACAACAACCACG